ATTTGGTTAATCGGGAAGGAAATAAGCCTACAGATTGGCTAGCTAAACATGGTTACAATGGCATTTATATTAGGCAAACCCCCCTCCCCCCTTCTCCAATTTGATTCATGGTGATATTATTGATGTCCCCTATTTACGTGGTCGAGGTTGTTGTACTGCAGGGTTTTGATGACTTATTTTCTCCCATTCTCATTTGGATCTTTCCTTTTTGTTGGGTGGTGTACATCAAACACTTATATATGTTTTAGTTGGAGGCAACAAAAGAGGTTTTATTGGGAGGCACATGGCTCCCTTTTTGGTGGCAATATTTCAGAAATATCTTGGAGGCCCATGGCCCCTGTTATTTGCATACTTTCCTGGTTTGGAGCCTTATAGCTCCTAATGCTTAGTTGAGAAATACTGGATGACTTGATGATGCTTTCCTTTTCTATAAGGGGAGGATGAATGGTACTTTATTTTGCAATGGTTATTGGATGTTTAGGCTGCTGGTATTGGTCTTTACCATTGGTCTTTACCATTTCTCGTCTCGGGCCCTCTCTCTCTGCAGCTTATATTATCAGTGGCTTATAAAGACTTCTATTTTAATGTCTTATCCCCTCAATGTCATTTATTCTACTAACGGATATGATTTACAGGTTCTTAGACGACGACATATTACTATTTTATTTCTCCTCCAGGACTGTTACTCTGTCACAATTTTGCGCTAAGATTGGAAGATTGTGCAGTTTCAAGATAATTGGACTTACGGATTGCATTCCCTACAAATTCATTTTTGAAATACTTCTTTTGATTGACATATCTTTTTGGGTTACATGTAATTTTAGAAGTGATAGCTTGTTCTACGTCCTTTTTTGTGTGGTGTTATATGTGGACGGAGGAACCCTTAGGTTTCAATGTATCTTTTTGCTTTTTAGTAGGGATCCTCCTTTCCTCCCAAAATTGTACTATCTCTATTATCATTAACGCGTAAGGAGCCACGAGTTGCTCTTTCAATAAAAAAAAAATATAACCTCTATTTGCATGATTGTAAGATTGAGATGTTTAAATAAATTATAAGATGACTTATCTCTCTTCGGGTGCATCCTATAATCTCTTCCTTTAAATCTTCTATGTTCTCACTTCTCTTCATCTTTCAATCTCCTCTTTCGTAGTCATACTATTCAATTCCTGCATATTTACATATATAACACTAAAACCTTACTTCTTTTTTTTTAACATTTATACTACCCAAGGCTTTCATATCACATCAAAAATACTACCATTTTTACTTTTTAAATGTGAAAAACACATTTTCATACATAGGTATGGTGACATGTATGTAAAAATTGAAGTTAAAGTGCAAGATATGCAAATAAATATGAATATGAGTGTGGTGTATGCAAATCTTTCTAGTTGGAAACTTCTGGGCTCCATAAATTTGCGCCTCGATCTCCATCAAAATGAATGTTGACAGAGATTTTTGCTTGAAGCTTGGAGGTAATTTTTTAGAAGGCAAACGAGACAGTAGATAAAAACACTACCTAGAGATTTTGCTATAAACCATTAACAAAATTACTTAAAAATTTATAATATTATATCAATAAGAATTTTTGTATGAAAAAATATTTTTTTTTTTTATTCTTGGAAGCTTATAATTTAGTTTCTTTTTAAGAAATCATTAATGATAATCATACACATTTAAAATCTTAAATAATGATTAAATATTTGACCATATAGAGGTGTATTCCATAAAATCAATATGGAATTACTCAAATATTGCATGACAACAAATGTTTACAAAATATCAACATCTAGGCAAATAAAAAAAATAGTTAATGACTAAAATCCATTATATACATGACTAAAGTTTCCTGGCAATATGGTCATGAAAAAAACTCATGCATTACAATTGAGATTAAGTAATAATAACATCAATGAAATTGTACAATATACCATATACCAATTGATGTAGATATTCTTTATGTATCAACTATAAAATTCTCATTATAATAAATTTCAAATTATATATATATATATGTGTGTGTGTGTGTGTATTCTATTTTGTGATTTTATAAAATTATGTAGTGTACAACAAGCATTATATAGTTAGAGACATAAATCATCGATATTCCACAATAACATGTCTTAGAAAAAATGCTTATAATTAAAGAGATATTCTTGTCTTGCAGGCTGCTTACTCTCGTGATAGTCATACAAATGATATCTTAAGCCTTTGTATGGTGATAAAAACCCTGACATATTTGCATATCCTGAATTGACTAAGCAATATTTTGTTGTTTTCAAAAGATATATATTACTCATTAAAAATAAAAAAATGATCATTCGATAGTTTAGACATTACTTGCTAAAACAAAATTAACATACCTTGTGATGGTAAAAATAAGTTTAACTTAAAAAAAATTATATGCAGTCTAAAAATAGTATAAGAACATTTGTTATTCCACTCAATCAAAACGTATGGAAGTAAAAGTCTCCTTAAATCCACATGCATATATTATATTTTGCCTTAACTCCTTATATTTTTCTTTACATGCAAATTATTCTTTTCTAGATGCATGTGCGAATATGTACTTCATCAACTGCACCAACACAACCTTATTCATATAATTTATGAGTGAACAATCATACATACAATAAATAGAGTATTAAATTTTTAAATTTCAACATACCTTAAAATATAGTTTTTGAATTCTAAAGAAATAATCTCAAAATAGTTAAAAAACTATCTCAATTCTTAAGTGAGAAATTCTCTTCAAAGTTCTTTTAGAATTGAATGGGATTGTCTCCAATGCATGCTGAAATTTGATCAACCTCTATTCTTCTTTATCATCATACATAAATTCCAAAAAATGGAAATTTTTTATCCCAACAATTCCAAAGATACAATTGCAAACATTTCTCTGTCGGCAGAACCCAATCCAAACAGACTAAAGAAACAATTCATTGGGAATCATAATGCATGTTTGTACAACTTGATATATATATATTTAATATTTAATGGGAATGAAATTAATGAAAGGAAGAGTACATTGTAGTTCAACTATAGAAAAGAGATTACAAAATAATAATGTCTCTCTCATCCATAGAAGAGTAACCAGAACAAACGCAAAGAATACAGGACCAAAGCCAGCCATCCCCACAAGATATACTTGTTTATATTACTTTCAAGCAAGAAGTCGTTGGGTGGTATGAGAAGAAATAAATGACCTCTTCAGATATTTTATCTTCATAATTGAGGTGAATGGGAAAAAAATAAATGCTATTAGCCATAGGGAGTCTTCTTTACATGTTCTGCCTTCATAATTGCAGCAAACTTTCTTCACTAGAATTGCTGTTCCTCATGCTGTCACCTCTGTAAACTGTCTTTCTCTGGCACCAAAAGTTCTGTACAAAAAATTTTCAATTGCTGAGAGGAATTCTTCTGGCTTTTCTTCATGTGGTAGGTGTCCACACTTTCTGATGATTTCAAGTGTGGAACCAGGTATGGCCTGCGCTAACCTCCGAGCATTCCAAGAAGGAACAAGGAGGTCCGTGTCACCGGTGACAATCAATACTAAAAATAAGAAAAAGAAGGAGAAATAAATATGAGTTATATAATATCACAGTGGCAGAGAATAAATGAGCAAAATTTATGGAGGAGCACAACATGCCTTGAAACAGTTTGAGATAGTTACTGTTTAGACTTTAAAGGTTATTTATAGAAAAAAATAATGTCTGAGTTATGGGTAAAGGCAGGAAGAGCTTTGAAGAGCAACAGCTATGTAAAGTATTGACTCTGGCAACTTATCCTTTTCTCATCATGAACGCATTAACTGCGCAAGTAGCACAAGATTTTGCTTCATATCAACCATTTTTTATTAAAATATCATAGAAATATCTGCATTCATTTCACCAGGGTTAACTTTTCACAACTAATCAGGATTAAATAAGACCATCAAATGTTAGACCATAAAAAAAACCTCCTGGGAGAACAAAACTTCATGTAATTATAACTCTTAAATATGGTTCTTATATAATTACCATCATAGTTCTGACATTTCTATTTTATTTTGCAACCAAATGGAAATCCAACAAAATCATAATACACTAAAACTAAAATTCAGTATTTAGAATTTTAGGATTTCACTATTTCAATTATGATTTAAATAAAGCATGCCTGCAAAAAAAAAATTAGTTTTTACCTGGACATTTGATCTCAGAAAGCCTCTTTGAAAAGGAAGGCTTTGGCTTTGGTTTTGAAGCAGAACCGATTAACATAGCTATCGCAAACTCCAGAAGGGCACTATCCCAACCTTTAGCTCTCAATGGCTGTCAAAGGATAGGTGATATTAATATGAGAGACAACATGCATATATTATAATCTCATCATATAACAACTTGACATAAAAAGGATAAATGATTTGTAAAATAAAAATTACCATTGTGTAGCCTTTTATTACATCATCAGTAATTTGGCTTGCATCATACCATGATTTTCGGATAGTTAATAAGCCAAATTTATCCATGATTACCCTCACCTGAATAACAACCATGTATCAGAACAACATGATTTGAACCGATATTCAAAAGTGTAAGGTCTGCTTTTGAAAAAAAAAAATAATGAATATATAAAAAATAAATGATTAAAAAAAACTTGTTTTTATTCTTCAAATGAAGAGGTCAGGTTCATAAAAATGGTATAAATGACTCCAGAAGTAGTGTTTTGCCATAAATCTTAGGAGAAACCATTGAAAAGTATTCATTCAATGAGAATGTTAATGATTTCAAGTAAGAGCTATTATCGAAAATATAAAAGCCAATGAATTAAATTACTAATGTTTCAAAAGTTTTCATTGTTAAAAGCTTCTGAGTTCTATTATCTCCCATCGTGCAACCATGATAATGACTCCAAGCCCAAATAGCATAAAACTTACACGCCTCAGATACTGACTAATGAACGTTTGATGTTTATGCTATCACCTACCAAAGTCATTTTCAACCTTGCGTTGGGCATAATATTTTATCTTGCAGATAAATTACATTAACAAATCTCAATTTCAGTAAGTCAAAATCTGAAGATTATTAAAGAGCAGCAATTTAATGAAATATTGAACTCACCAGCATGATAGCAAATGCTGATCTTAAGACAGCAACCACAAGCTTAGCAAATAATGAACTGACCATACCAGCCATTCCACTTAAAATTTGAAGTATAAATCCTGCAATAATCCCCCAAAACTTGCAAAAACCACGCCAAATCCTGGTAGAAGGATTCTCAAATTCACCCAAATCTAAATCACCATCCCCATCCTTCTTCATCTTCTCCACTGCACCACCCTTCGCTTCTCTCTTCATGATAAGGGGTGCAAAGATTGCCGGAGCAACCAAAATCAATGCAGCAACTTTCTCAGGAGATTCAAAGTATGTGTTCACTGCTACCAAACAACCAGCAGAGTGCCTGCTATCAAATTGAATTTGTTAACTATAAGAAAAGCTTTAAAAAATAATTCAAAAAATTGACTGTAGAATAAGTAATGCATACATACCCCATCAAAATAGCTTTCCCTGCTCCCAACATATCTACGAAGGAAAGTGTAGCCCGCACAGAGAAAGCCGTTGAGTATGGATTCAATGGCTTTTCCTCACCAGCAACAAATTCCCGGTTCTTAATATTGCTAGTTCTTGATGTCAGACCAAATGCCGGTCTATCAAAAGCCAGAACCTTTGAGCCGATCAACCGAGCCAGAGGCTTCATTATTTTAGCCCAAGAGAAAACCGACGCCCCAAAACCATGCAATAAGATCATCGGCAATCCAAACTTGCCTCGAAAAGCTCCCTCCTTTTCCTCTTCGTCGGCATCAAGATGGCATATTTTATGATGGATTCTCACCCCATTTAACTCAGAGAAGAGGCTATCAGGCTCAGCGAGCTTCTCCGGGTCCAGAAGCTCTTCCTGGTCGACCCCAGCCACGCTTCTCCGCTTCACCAAAACATCGCCCACAAGCTGTTCGGAAAAATTCCCAGCAACTTGAACAGAGTAATTTCTCTGTTGGCCAGCAGAACCGGTTTTTGGGTCAATTTCCTGTAAGAGGAGGGAAGTGGAGGAGGCGGGACAAGGAGAAAGGAAGCGGCTGTCGACATTGGAGAGAAAAGCTGAAGGGCTAAATAAGGATAAGAAAGTGTACCGGCAACGCATTTTGCTCTTCTTCTGGTTATGTGAAGGGGAAGAAGGAGGAGTCCGGGAATTTATAGAGAAGTGGAGGCAATGTGGACCGTTATAGAGAGTCAAAATTCTCAGAGACATTGTTTGAAGGAATTTTTTTTTTAGCATCGACCCGAAAAATGGTAAGTAGAAGATGTATTTATCTAATACTTGGATTATATTTTCTTTTAAATTTAATTATTATTTAAATATTTAATTGTGTTCAACGATAGCATATGAAGCACAAAATTAAGGATATATATGATAAATTTAACCTCATGTATTTTTTTTTCAAAAATATTTTAAAGGAATGGGCTATTTACATGCATGCCACACATTTTTTATATATTTACATATTCTACACTAAACCTTCATATTTACTTGTGTTGCTCAAAATTTTAACATCACATAAAAACTAAACTATCACCATCATTATTTTTTTAAAAGTGATATTTTTTTTCATTATGGGAAGGGAATCAACTTTTAGGATGTTAAATCTAGATTTATTTTCATGCGCAACGAGTGAGAGAGAGAGTGTAAGAGAGAAGGAGAGAGGGAGAGAAAGACTTTCCCTGTAAAAGCGAGTGTGATGCTCCCGGGACTTAGACCAAATTTATTTCATAAATGTAGTGATTACAAAGGAGGAAACCAAAAGTCCTTAATACATGAAAGAGTCATTCTTTTATAAATGATAGGAGGACAAAATGTAAAATTACATTATTGCCCTTACTAAAGAGGAAAAACCCTGTAACTTTTCATCTATCTTCTTTATTTGGATCATTAGATTGTCTCAAGATTCGTACAAACCATTTTTTTGGGGTACACAAATAATTATAAGTCTAATTATCAAATTCTATATGTTAAATATGTAAATGCATAAAACTTTTGTTGTATGCATGTTAATTTTTTGATATTTAATTAAAAGTTTATTAAAATATATTTCTTTCTAGAAATAATTCTGTTGAATCTTATAAATTTAAAACAATATTAAGCTTGTTGTGTGTCGGAATATTCATGATCGTTGAGTGATATTTAATATATTAGCGGTGCAAGAAGACCCAACACACACACACATATATATATTAGAAAAGTTGTAGGAGTCATCAAGGTTTTTTATCATGATAACTTTTTGTCATTTACCATCTTATTCGAATAGTTTGTCATGTTTTTTTATCATGGTAACTTTTCATCTAACATTTTATCCAAATTCCTCCACCAATCACCTGGCTTGGAAGAAAGTCCCTCTTCACATCTTCCCTGACTCGCTCCACTTTTTTCTCAAATGTAATTGCCATGTATGAGAAAAATATTAGTAGATCTAATGGATCAAAAAGAAGGCCATCATTGGTGGCTTTTGCGGCAATGAAGTTGGGAGTTTTAGGTTGGAGACAATAATTAGCCCTAAACATTGTAGCCAGCGGCTGTAATAGCGGCTGTTAGTCACAAAGGTCGTAGGCTGTAACTTTAATAATGATAGTTGGACACAAAAATCGTAGTTAGAAGTTGAAGTTGTAACCAATCACATATGTCATAGTTGGTAGCTAAAAGAGTGTCAGTTCGTTATAGAGATCATAGTTGGTAGCCAAAAGAGTGTCAGTTGGTTACAGAGATCATAGTGGGTAGCTACAATAGTAACTAATTACATAAGTTGTAGTTGGTCACATAGGTTGTAGTTGGTCACATAAAGTCATAGTTGGTAGATGTAGTAAAATTTAGCCACATAAGCCGTAGTTGGTCACATATGTTGTAGTTGGTAGCTTCAATAATATCACTTAACCACAAAGGCTAAAGTCCGTGACAGCTTGGCAGCTACAATAGCATTAGTTGGCTATAAAGGCAGTAATTTGATGTTGTAGAAGCATTTAACCACATAAGCTGTAGAAGATTGCTACGATAATAGTAGTTGATCACAAAGGCCTTAGATGGTGTCTGGACTCCTTTTCTCAGGGAGAATGGGGTTAAAATTTTAGACCGAACACTACATTTGTCTTCATATAATATAAAAGAAAACATTAGGAGTATAGATAAATCACCAAATTTTGAGTACGATGGTTGTAAGCAGTTATTGTCTGGAGTTATCATCAGATATTTGATGCAACATTATTTATTTACATCCGCTGCGAGCTATATTGTTACACCATATTCAGGATACGTTGTGACACCACATTTGAGACACATTGTTACACCTTATTCGAGATATATTGTTAGCTAGTAGAGTTTGTTAATAATGACTTGTAAGGGTGGCCGACAGTGGTTGACGACGACAGGTGTGCTGTGGTCGATATTAGTCAGTGATATATACAAAGCATGCTTAAATTTTTTTTACTTTTGCACCTTTTTATGTATAAAATTGCACTTTAAATGAAGGAATTTTTGTGTTTTTCATACAGGTACAACATGTATTATAAGTGGAACTAACAGAAGAAGAAACAGAACTATGCGGGGAAGAAACGGAGCAAAGCAGAGGTGACATGGACCTAAGGGAGCACCAAGTGACTGACGCCTAGGTGCCAACCTGTAGGTGCCAAGGCGCTGCACTCAATCTCTTTGGCGCCACACACGTGGGTTCCTAGGTGTCAGTTTCTACCCAGGCAGACAAAGAGCTTGACGCCTAGGCCCCAACAACTGCTGACAGTCCATGATGTGTGGAGTTATTTGGAGGTTATGGGTAGTCTAAATGGGCATGAAAAGAAGTATTTCGAGAGGAGAAGAAGAGAAACATTAGAGGATGGCTGTCAGAGAAAATTAAGACTTTTACTTAGAGAACTTGGTGAGAATTGACAAATTTTTTATAAGGAGATTACATCAGCACTGCAGCAAGGGTTTGAGAAAGCCTAGGAAAGCATTCTCAGAGCATTGTAAAGGGCAAGAAGCTAAGTATTGTTCTTTTTTTTATTATACTTTTGTAAAACATAATTATCTAGTGAATTTGTTTTATGTTAGTGATGTTTTGCAGTGTGTTTTTCATGCTTAGTGAGTAGTCTTTTCACCTTTCTCTTGCAATGATTATGTTAGTTGTATAGGAATGGTGGAATGCTTTTGAAATTCATTTTCCATCTTTAATGTGATTAGTGCTCTTCTATGCTTCATTTACTTTTCATTCTGGTCAAATGATTAGTCAATACATGTTGTTATCCATAATCACTCAGGAGAGCTATGGAAGAACAATTAGAATATTCACGTTGAACTATAGGTTATGAAACAAAAGTTAACTATAGGGAGATACAAATAGATAGAGAAATAGTCTTTGATGGTTCAAATTGGGGTTTAAGAAATTAAAACCAATATAACCAAGCTTCTTTATGGACTCGGAAGAGGGTAAAGTAGAAAATTGCTCATATTTGTCGCTAGCCATAATCACAATTTCAAATATTGGTATTCTTATACACTACATATATCATTGCAAAGGAGGGTAGCTTCTATATCTTGATTTTCACCACTTTAATATATATATTATGATTTCTATAGGAGTAAATCTTAAATTGTAAGTAGTAATTCTCTAGAATTAGTTAGCAACACTTAAAACCAACTTTACTTTCAAGCCAAGAATCATTTTGGTTAGCTAAAATTTCTCTTAAGACTTTAACAGCCCCGCTCCTTGTGGGATCGATAATTTGGACTTATAAATACGATATTACTGATATGACCCGTATACTTGCGTGAAACCCCAATGTGCAAGTGCACTGAACTGGGAATGGTATCAGTTGGCGGCTACAGGGGCCAAAAGTTATTGTTGAGACTTTATTACAATGTAATTCATTCCATTACATTTGGGATATGTCATTACACCGTATTTATGATACATCAATACACCATATTCGGGATAAGCCGTTACACTGTATTTAAGATACATCATTAGTTAGCAGAGTCTAACAATAGTGGTGAGGAGGGCAAGTAATAATGTTCAACGACGACCGGTGGGCGGTGTTGACGGTTGTTAGTGACTACAAAGTCAAGAAGTTATCGTCGGGACTTTAATATGGTGTTATTTGTTACACCAAATTTGAGATAGGTTGTTACATCAAATTCAAAATGCATTATTACATCTTATTCAACATATGTCGAAACAACATATTTGAGATATGTTGTTACTTAGTAGAGTTCATCAACGGTGGCGCACAGGAGTTGCTGATGGTGGTTTGTGATGGCCGATGGGGTGTGGTAGAAAGTGGTCGACGCTTATGGAAGTAAGAAGATATTGTCGGGTCTTCGATCCAGCCAAATGAAGAGAGAGTGTCTATTTATAACCTCTGTGGGAGGAGTATTTTGGTTTTTTGGTGAATAAATCTCATAAATATCATATCGAATGACTCATATTGATCCCCCTTGATTGTAGAGGGTTATTTAATGATTTGAGGGCCTTAATGACTTCAAAATTAAATGAATTTAGGCTTATTAGATTTCTCTCGTCGAAATGCTCGATTTGAAGATAAATATGTCAAATTTGGAGTTAATTTGTTTTTTTAACTTATGATCCAAAACCTTCAAATGTTCTTTAATGGCTTGATCTGGACTTGATCAGATACATATCGAATCAATTTTTTTCATCTTATCGAGAAGGTCAATTTAACTATAAACTTGTTGAAAATCAGACCCCGACTAATCTTGAATTTAAATTCGAAACATTCATTATAAAAAAAAAATACATCGAGATTCATGCTAGATGAAAAAAATTTGTTGATGACACATCATAACTAAAGAACAAACTTTTTTATTAGACAATTCATGCATAGAATTTCTTGGTATAGTATTATGAAATGGCAGTAAAAACGGAATTTTTCATTCATCAATGCCAAACCAATCTTCTTTAGAGTGGTCAAATATATTATACCTAAATGTATTAATATTAAAAAAATATATATTATTTAATTTATGCTAAGAACTAACAAAAAAATAAGCTATATGATCTATCGAATTTTATAAAGTGACTAAAAGTAAAATAAAAAAAAAACAATTAAGACATTTAAAAGAAGATTAACTAAAAAACTTCCACCTAAAATTTTCAAACACATTAATCATCATCGATTACAAAGGTGGTCGATCCGGTGAGGGTCAAATGGCATCGTGATGCCTTTAAATATACTTGATTGTTAAATGAACAAGTTTGAGTAATTCATT